TTCATGGCAAACACCACAACTAATTATGATAGTAGCATTTCTAGATTTATGACGACATCTGGGACAGTTTAACAATGAAATACGATTTGTTTAGCCTCGTAGTGTAGGTAACAGATTGCAATCTTATTCTGTTGTATTGACTAAAAACACGAAAGTATCGAGTCTTAATGTTACAGACAGGGCGGGTCTCATACACACGAGTAAAAAGCAAATATTTGACATACACTTGGTACAATTGTCAATATATCTGGTTTTTTTCTTCTTATATTGGGTACAGTTGTAAAGATAAAGTAAAATTATCCCTGTATCTGTAGGTTTTTTTCTGATATTGGGTACAGTTGTATAGATGGAGTAAAATTATCCCTGTATCTGTAGGTTTTTTTCTGATATTGGGTACAGTTGTATAGATGAAGTAAAATTATCCCTGTATCTGTAGGTTTTTTTCTGATATTGGGTACAGTTGTATAGATGGAGTAAAATTATCCCTGTATCTGTTGTTTATATCTGATATTGGGTACAGTTGTATAGATGGAGTAAAATTAGCCCTGTATCTGTAGGTTTTTTTCTGATATTGGGTACAGTTGTATAGATGAAGTAAAATTATCCCTGTATTTGTAGTTTTTTTCTGATATTGGGTACAGTTGTATAGATGAAGTAAAATTATCCCTGTATCTGTTGTTTATATCTGACATTGGGTACAGTTGTATAGATGGAGTAAAATTATCCCTGTATCTGTTGTTTATATCTGATATTGGGTACAGTTGTATAGATGGAGTAAAATTATCCCTGTATCTGTTGTTTATATCTGATATTGGGTACAGTTGTATAGATGGAGTAAAATTATCCCTGTATCTGTTGTTTATATCTGATATTGGGTACAGTTGTATAGATGGAGTAAAATTATCCCTGTATCTGTTGTTTATATCTGATATTGGGTACAGTTGTATAGATGGAGTAAAATTATCCCTGTATCTGTTGTTTATATCTGATATTGGGTACAGTTGTATAGATGGAGTAAAATTATCCCTGTATCTGTTGTTTATATCTGATATTGGGTACAGTTGTATAGATGGAGTAAAATTATCCCTGTATCTGTTGTTTATATCTGATATTGGGTACAGTTGTATAGATGGAGTAAAATTATCCCTGTATCTGTTGTTTATATCTGATATTGGGTACAGTTGTATAGATGGAGTAAAATTATCCCTGTATCTGTTGTTTATATCTGATATTGGGTACAGTTGTATAGATGAAGTAAAATTATCCATGAATCTGACATTTTTTCTGAAAGGCGTAAAATTATCAAAATATATGGTTTTTTTTTCTCTTGTTATATTTGTATATAAGTATGGACTGTCTGTGGTGAGGTGTTGGTATAGGTCTGTATATAAGTAGGGACTGTCTGTGGTGAGGTGTTGGTATAGGTCTGTATATAAGTATGGACTGTCTGTGGTGAGGTGTTGGTATAGGTCTGTATATAGGTATGGACTGTCTGTGGTGAGGTGTTGGTATAGGTCTGTATATAAGTAGGGACTGTCTGTGGTGAGGTGTTGGTATAGGTCTGTATATAAGTATGGACTGTCTGTGGTGAGGTGTTGGTATAGGTTTGTATATAAGTAATAACAATTCACACCTCATCTATATTCTAATTGAACTAAATGATTGACACTGTTGCTGTTTTCCACTAGTGAGGATGATATCATGCTGTCACCAGTGCTTAAATATATAGCTATTGTTGTAGTTACGACGCGAATTCTTGGCGGTTTAGCTGCGGATCAGGACCAGGAGATACTCCCGCGGAATTGTTCTGATGATATTACGTACCAGTGTTTGGTGAGTATAATTCATTGAATATCTAGAAAAAATAAACGGTGTAATGTTGAAAATATAATATTATGAGTATTTCAGAATATATTCTGATAAACAAGAGAAGTGTATATTGATACATTATCATCAAGTATGAAACAATTTAATCTCTATTATTTACCAGTTTTAAGCCAGCCATCATTTGATGGATGGTTGTTCAAATCGTCCTTCGTTCGTTGTCCGTCCGCCAGTTGTTCCATCATTCTTGTGTTATCGCTATTTCTTGAGAAGTACTGGATGAATCGTTCACAAATTTCATGTGAAAGTTCTTCTTGGTCCCTAATTGTGCATTGTCTCATTTTGGGTCTGGTCCGAAAAACAAAATCGCGATAATCAGCAATTTATGATTTTAACGGAATTAGTTTATCAATGCTATTTTTAGTACCTGATAGATCATTCTGAGTTTGTCATAGTCAGATTTTGGGATTGGTCGGAAAAATGATATGGCCGACAGACAACAAGCTTGGAATATGGCCGTACTATTTTGTTTTCACTATTTCTGACACACCATTACCCGCAAGTGTGTGTGGTGGACCCTAGTGGTAACGCCTCCCAGTCCTATTCGATCCACGTGCAAGAAAGGAACACCATTCGTCATATCTACGAGAAGCAGGTGATCATAACAACAGGGCTGATTGTGGTGAATCTGCTCGTTCTCAGCGGACCACTCGTCATGATAATATTTCTAAAAGGACTGGAAATAATTGTAATTAGTAGATCGACAAGGATATTTACTTGCTTAATGACTTTGTGCAATTCTGCTGTCAATCCGTTTCTGTACGTTTGTAGAATCAGAAAAGTTAGACAAGTACTTAAAAAAAGCCTTTTGTCCCTGCAAAACTACTGATATTTTCAGGTAGTTCTGATGATATTAGAAATAGCAATCATTTAGCAAAGCCTTTTGTCCCTGCAAGCCCACTGAAACGTCTAGGTAGGTCTGATAATATTAGAAATAGCAATCATTTAGCAAAGCCTACTGAAATCTCTGGTCAGTAGTAACAAGTAACATTTTACTTGTCGATGACGCAATGCCATGTGTCTCATTGTCATCACATTTGGCTAATTCTATCCCAGCTAAAACTATCGCCCTGAAATTGTTTTCAGAATGATATACAGGGACATTAACACGTTGTAATGTGAATACCATAGGAAATATATATAAAAAAAAGACCACAAAGGTTTAATCTTCAAAAAATACAACTAACCATTTCATACAATACTGTAGAGGTATGAAAATTACTGCTAACCATTTCATACAATACTGTAGAGATATGAAAATTACTGCTAACCATTTCATACAATACTGTAGAGATATGAAAATTACTGCTAACCATTTCATACAATACTGTAGAGATATGAAAATTACTGCTAACCATTTCATACAATACTGTAGAGATATGAAAATTACTGCTAACCATTTCATACAATACTGTAGAGATATGAAAATTACTGCTAACCATTTCATACAATACTGTAGAGATATGAAAATTACTGCTAACCATTTCATACAATACTGTAGAGATATGAAAATTACTGCTAACCATTTCATACAATACTGTAGAGATATGAAAATTACTGCTAACCATTTCATACAATACTGTAGAGATATGAAAATTACTGCTCACCATTTCATACAATACTGTAGAGATATGAAAATTACTGCTAACCATTTCATACAATACTGTAGAGATATGAAAATTACTGCTAACCATTTCATACAATACTGTAGAGATATGAAAATTACTGATAACCATTTCATACAATACTGTAGAGATATGAAACTACTGCTAACCATTTCATACAATACTGTAGAGATATGAAAATTACTGCTAACCATTTCATACAATACTGTAGAGATATGAAAATTACTGCTAACCATTTCATACAATACTGTAGAGATATGAAAATTACTGCTAACCATTTCATACAATACTGTAGAGATATGAAAATTACTGCTAACCATTTCATACAATACTGTAGAGATATGAAAATTACTGCTAACCATTTCATACAATACTGTAGAGATATGAAAATTACTGCTAACCATTTCATACAATACTGTAGAGGTATGAAAATTACTGCTAACCATTCCATACAATGCTGTAGAGGTATGAAAATTACCGCTAACCATTTCATACAATACTGTAGAGATATGAAAATTACTGCTAACCATTACATACAATTCTGTAGAGTTATGAGAATAACCGCGAAGCATTTAATACAATACTGTAGAGGTATGAAAATTACTGCTAACCATTTCATACAATACTGTAGAGGTATGAAAATTACCGCTAACCATTAAAGGTCATACATTTCATACAATGCTGTAGAGGTATGAAAATTACCGCTAACCATTTCATACAATACTGTAAGGTAAAGACAGTAATTAGGACAACCAGATACAATGCTGTAAGATGAAAATTATCTACCATACAATAGTTAGTAAAGGTAATTAGGAGATAGTGGTAAGATCAGTATCTACCACAGTAGTTAGTGGTGAGATCGCTACCTACAACAGTAGTTAGTGGTGAGATCAGTACCTACAACAGTAGTTAGTGGTGAGATCAGTACCTACAACAGTAGTTAGTGGTGAGATCAGTACCTACAACAGTAGTTAGTACCTAGTACTGTCGATATGACACTAGTCACCTAGTACTGTCGATATCGGTCGATATGACACCAGTCACCTAGCAACGTTGATATGACACCAGCCACCTAGTACTCTCGATATGACACCAGTCAAGTAGTAACGTCGATATGACACCAGTCACTTATTACTGTCGATATGACACCAGCCACCTAGTAACGTCGATATGACACCAGTCACCTAGTACTGTCGATATGAGACAAGTCACCTAGTAACGTCGATGTGACACCAGTCAAATAGTACTGTCGATGTGACACCAGTCACCTAGTACCGCCGATATGACACCAGTCACCTAGTACCGTCGATATGACATCAGTCACCTAGTACCGTCGATATGACACTATCAGTTGCATTGCATAATTATTACATATGTTAGAAAATGACAAAGATATTTTAATCAATTCCTGTTCGTTAAAATTTTATTTTATTATACTGTAACCTGTTATAAAAGGCCTTTTTTCTTGCACTCGCAGTTTCTCAGTGAAGCATGAACGAGAGTGACGAAACAAACTGGGATGTGACGTCATCCAATTCAACGGAATTGTTGAGGAATTCAAGTGAGGTGAAGCTGGCCCCTTTGATAATTGTCATTGTGACGTGTGCTGTGGCAACCTCTACCAATCTACTAGTACTCACTATTCTCCTGTGCGAGCACCAGATTCGAAAGAACTACAGGATAGAGTTCATTCTGTGGCTATGTTTGAGTGACCTTGTCCTCAGTATCGCTGGCTGGTTGTTTGTGTTCAATTACGTCATAAAGGAACTGACCATGAACACACACTACTGTAGCTTGATGTATTACTTGATCACAGTTGGTATTGATCAGTCTCTCGCGCACACATTCCTGATATGTATCGATAGATACATGGCCGTTGTTAACCACACCCGATATCAATTGTTTAGTAAGAACTATCGATACATGGTAACGTTTGGTACCTGGGTCTTTATCCACGGGTATGTAGGGACACTGGTCATTATTTTCATGCGCGCGGACCATATTTCTTATTGTTCTTTAACGGCATATCCAAGGCATAAAGCATTTGTAAGTGCCGTTGCCTTTCTCAACTTACCTCTCCTTATCAGCACACCGTGTCTATACATTTCTACCATGGTAATGTTTAAAAACCGTTCAAAACGGACACACAATTACCCGCAAGTGTGTGTGGTGGACCCTAGTGGCAACGCCTCCCAGTCCTGTTCGATCCACGTGCAAGAAAGGAACACCATTCGTCATATCTACGAGAAGCAGGTGATCATAACAACAGGGCTGATTGTGGTGAATTTGCTCGTTCTCAGCGGACCACTCGTCATGATAATATTTTTAGAAGGACTGGAAATAATTGTAATTAGTAGATCGACAAGGATATTTACTTGCTTAATGACTTTGTGCAATTCTGCTGTCAATCCGTTTCTGTACGTTTGTAGGATCAGAAAAGTTAGACAAGTACTTAGAAAAGCCTTTTGTCCCTGCAAGCCTACTGATACTTCCAGGTAGTTCTGATAATATTAGAAATAACAATCATTTAGCAAAGCCTTTTGTCCAGTAAGCCTACTGAAATCTCTGGTCAGTAGTAACAAGTACAATCGATGACGCAATGCCATGTGTCTCATTGTCATCACATTTGGCTAATTCTGTCCCAGCTAAAACTAGAAAGATTGTATTGGTGGGAGGTGCTTTTGTTATTCCTATGAAGTCTTAGATTTCATCCAACAGCCTTGTGATTTCTAATCAGTTTTTTTTTAACTTTTTATTAACAAAACCAATGCTAGGTTGAATATCCTCTTATTTTCCTGGTATTTTGGCAGGAATCTCTGTTTTGTTCCTGTTTTGCCCTGGTTTTATTGACTTGGAGATTGAATTATGTTCACATATTTGTATAATTATTATTCAGATGATTAAAAAAAGCATTTACATTTGATATGCTGAGTGTGATGAAATCCGTTACATGTTTTGTTTTGTTTTTTGAGATGTTAGAGGTTTGGTAAAATAAAAGAAAGTATGAGACACGTTTCATTAAATTCATCAAATGTTTATTTCGCCCTGAAATTGTTTTCAGAATGACATACAGGGACATTAACACGTTGTAATGTGAATACCATAGGAAATATATATAAAAAAAAGACCACAAAGGTTTAATCTTCAAAAAATACAACTAACCATTTCATACAATACTGTAGAGATATGAAAATTACTGCTAACCATTTCATACAATACTGTAGAGATATGAAAATTACTGCTAACCATTTCATACAATACTGTAGAGATATGAAAATTACTGCTAACCATTTCATACAATACTGTAGAGATATGAAAATTACTGCTAACCATTTCATACAATACTGTAGAGATATGAAAATTACTGCTAACCATTTCATACAATACTGTAGAGATATGAAAATTACTGCTAACCATTTCATACAATACTGTAGAGATATGAAAATTACTGCTAACCATTTCATACAATACTGTAGAGATATGAAAATTACTGCTAACCATTTCATACAATACTGTAGAGATATGAAAATTACTGCTAACCATTTCATACATTACTGTAGAGATATGAAAATTACTGCTAACCATTTCATACAATACTGTAGCGGTATGAAAATTACTGCTAACCATTTCATACAATACTGTAGAGATATGAAAATTACTGCTAACCATTTCATACATTACTGTAGAGGTATGAAAATTACTGCTAACCATTTCATACAATACTGTAGAGATATGAAAATTACTGCTAACCATTTCATACAATACTGTAGCGGTATGAAAATTACTGCTAACCATTTCATACAATACTGTAGAGATATGAAAATTACTGCTAACCATTTCATACAATACTGTAGAGGTATGAAAATTACTGCTAACCATTTCATACAATACTGTATAGATATGAAAATTACTGCTAAATTATATACTGTAACCGTTTTGTAACCATTTCATACAATACTGTAGAGATATGAAAATTACTGCTAACCATTACATACAACTCTGTAGAGGTATGAGAATAACCGTGAAGCATTTAATACAATACTGTAGAGGTCGAAAATATGACCGCTAACCGTTTTGTACTCTACAGTAGAGGTCTGAAATATAACCGCTAACCGTTTTGTACTCTACAGTAGAGGTCTGAAATATAACCGCTAACCATTTCGAACTCTACAGTAGAGGTTAATAAACGTGTTACTGACACTGATTCACGTGTAATACTATACAATGGTGATTTCGCATATGAAATGAAATGCTTCACCACAGTCCGAAGATATGAGCAGGAGGTTGCTATGTTTTGACAACATCAAACAATCGCCATGTGTCCCTGTATCCATTGTTGGGGCAACTGTAGGAACAGGAAAAGTCATTACTGATCCGTCAGAGAATTCGTATGTTCCAGAATCTGTTAACCTTCCGTCGGCAAGATAATAAGTTGCTTCTGATTCATTCACAGCGGTTATCAATTTATCCAGCTTGTCTTGGTTATCTATTTTCACTAGAGACCCTCCAATCTCTTGGCAGCTTTGTACAGCCCCGGTGTAATTCAGTATATAAGTAGGAATTAAGTAACAGAATGCCGAATCCGCTACAGATGTATAATTTCCTGGACATTTCGTGCAACTTGAAGGTGTCCAGGATCCATTAGCTAAACATGTCATTGTTGAAATTCCTAGCATCATAAAACCCTCAAAACAACCGTATTTGATCACATTACCGACATGGCGGTAATGTTTTGACGGGCCTCTAGATTTTATTTCAGGGTTAAAGTCTGGACATTCTGTGATGATGCAAACAATTCCTCCACTTGATAGAACTACACACCTTTCTCCATCTTTACAGTTGTGATTAGCACAGCTCCTTAACAGCGAAGAGTCCTGAACGGTTAATAAGTTTTTTTGTGACGTCACGTAGAACGGGTATTTGTAATTTTTGACGTCGCCTTTGCTCAGAAGACAATCCAGATGTGGCACATTTAACGACATCACAGTACATGTTCGCCTTAGGAGACATTCTCTAATACATTGTAAGACGCCATATGTTTTCAAAGGAACGAAAGAATCCTTTTTTATGGACGTATTCCCTCGGCTCATAGAGAAATACATGTCGTTCGCGACAGAACAACGAAGAGTCATACAAATTAGCACCAAACCAACAAATAAATCCATGGCCATTATTAGTTTAAATATACACTACAGTTATGTCGATGAGTTTGCATACATAAAAACCTCTAGGACTTTTTCTGTTATTGCCATGAACCGCTCTTCCTGGGAATATTGTTTCACTTTATGTCGAAAGCATACATCAATGAGTTATATAATCCAAAAGTTTGATCTAATGAGCAAAAAACTGACTCCACATTTTAATCGGCATATGCAGGGTATGTGACCATGCTCACAGAAAGGCAGGGTGACAAGAAGTCAGCGTCCTTAGCTTCCAAATGAGAGAAAATATGTGATAATAACAGTACTTAACACTGTAATAGCTCTACCGTAACCTGACAGGAGAGCTGTCTGGTTCGAATTAATTAACCATAGAACGAGAGACGATAAATGCTCGTTTCCCATTATTAGCTTTAGGCGACAAATGAATATTTGATTGGATGAATTAGTCTTGTTACAGTTAATTTCAACATAGCTAACACAACTTACTTAACTAATTAAATAAAGCATGCAGGTCGTTTTCTATTCTTTTTGTTATTATTATTGAATACTTTTTTGATAATGTTAACTAGGCCACAAAACGATGGGTGTCCTCTTGCGAATCTGTTTAACACGATTGATTAATTGACAGGTTTTTCGTCATCGGAAAACCAATATGTTGATACACGCGTCGATATACGGATATGTTATCGAGAATATGTCACTACCAGGGTGACACAGTCATCCCAGCATGGATCTATAGATTAGAGAATCACATGCTGAAAATCATTGTACGGAACTACGGATCTGGGAACTAGACACCACATGGCGGGAGTGATACTCTCGTCCAAGCATGGATCTGTGTACTAAGACACAACATGATGGGAGTGATACTCTCGTCCAAGCATGGATCTGTGTACTAAGACACAACATGATGGGAGTGATACTCTCGTCCCAGCATGGATCTGTGTACTAGGACACAACATGATGGGAGTGATACTCTCGTCCCAGGATGGATTTGTGTACTGCGACACAAAATGGCGGGAGTGATGATTTTGTCCCAGCATGGATCTGTGTACTAGAACACAACATGGCGAGAGTGATACTCTCGTTCCGGCATGGCTCTGTTTACAAGGGCACAACATGGCGGGAGTGATACTCTCGTTCCGGCATGGATCTGTGTACTAGGACACAACATGGCGGGAGTGATAATCCCGTCACAGCATGGATCTGTACTAGGACGCTATATGGTGGGAGTGACATTCTCGTCCAAGCATGGATTTGTGTACTAGGACACAATATGATGGGAATTATATTCTCGTTTATGCATGGATCTGTGTACTATGACACAACACGGCGGGAGTGATACTCTCGGACCAGCATGGATCTGTGTACTAGGACACGACATGGCGGGAGTGATGCTCTCGTCCCAGCATGGATCTGTGTACTAGGACACGACATGGCGGGAGTGATAATCTCGTCCCAGCATGGATCTGTGTACTAGGACACAACATGGCGGGAGTGATACTCTCGTCCCAGCATCGATCTGTGTACTAGGACACAACATGGCGGGAATGACAATCTCGTCCCAGGATGGATTGGTGTACTAAGACACAACATGGCGGGAGTGATAATCTCATCCCAGTATGGATTTGTGTACTGCGACACAAAATGGCGGGAGTGATAATTTTGTCCCAGCATGGATCTGTGTACTAGAACACAACATGCCGGGAGTGATACTCTCGTCCCAGCATAGATCTGTGTACTAGAACACAACATGGCGGGAGTGATACTCTCGTCTCAGCATGGATCTGTGTACTAGGACACAACATGGCGGGAGTGATAATCCCGTCACAGCATCGATATGTACTAGGACACAACATGGTGGGAGTGACACTCTCGTACAAGCATGGATCTGTTTACAAGGACACAATTTGTCTGGAGTGATAATCTCGTGCTAGCATGGATCTGTGTACTAGGACACGACATGGCGGGAGTAATACTCTCGTCCCAGCATAGATCTGTTTACAATGACCCGACATGACGAGAGTGATACTCTCGTCCCATGATGGATTTGTGTACTAGGACATAAAATGGCGGGAGTGATACTCTCGTCCCAGCATGGATCTGTGTACTAGAACACAACATGGCGGGAGTGATACTCTCGTCTCAGCATGGATCTGTGTACTAGGACACAACATGGCGGGAGTGATACTCTCGTCCCAGCATGGATCTGTGTACTAGGACACAACATGCCGGGAGTGATGCTCTCGTTCCAGCATGGATCTGTGTACTAGGACACGACATGCCGGGAGTGATACTCTCGTCCCAGCATGGATCTGTGTACTAGGACGCGACATG